TATCATATTCATTAATTCATGGATTTTGATCAAGTTTTTCAACCCTAAATCATTCATACATAAGTATCAAACGCAACCCTAATGCCATTGACCTCTAAGCTGCGCCCAAAACCTCTCATACACTTTGCAATTTTGGTGAATTTTTTCAAAACTGAAAACACGATTCCAAAGCATTTCATGGCAAGAAAACTATCCCATTGCATTCCTGAGGCTTCAAGGAACGTTTCTGGATCAAAACCATTATCTCTAACGCAAGGAATTGGTAGAATGACCTTGTCCCGTTCATAATTTTTCTCATATTCATGTATCATAATTCATGCGTTGTTTTCAATTTTTAATGTTTGGTTTATATTAAGTTACTCATTCTGAAGCTAACCATGTATTTTAATTGAGTTTTTGTGCATCATACACGAATTCACCATTGAAGCTCGTTAGGGTTTCTCAAGCTTCAAATTGGGCGTTTGCATATACTGTAAAATCAAGGCACCCCAGTACCATGGCTAGAACCAGGATGCTTGGACGAATTTATTACACCAGTCGCGCCTAATTTATATAGCCATATGGGCTATTCGCTATTTTTGAAAAGACTGCATTTTGGGGGGGTTTAAAACCCCCGCTACTTCTTTTTTGTTTCAGGGACAACGAAGAAGAAGATCAGGTGGCATGACATGATTGGACAATTTGAATTCCAGCGCGCGTTTTTTCGTTTCCATATCACTAATGCCATCTTTCTTTTATATTATTTATCCTTTATTACATGTACAACACGCGCTAATGGCACAGTTGGTAGAGGAAAGTATTGGTAAGCCTTGGGACCTGGGTTCGAACCCCAGGTCCCCCTACTTTGTTTCATATTTTTCTTCCTAATGCAATTCTGTGTAGCTTGCCTCCTGAAGTCTATCATGCAGCCTTGTATCCAAGCGTGCCACATGTCCCATGGCATCAGTCCAATGGTCCAGATCTAAGGCCTATGGGATGACTCAGTCAACGAATCCACACGTGATTACCAGAAGTCAACAAGGCTAGGAATTCAATGGGCCAAAAATGCTGGATGATACCTCCAACTTGGGGTCAACACCCCCTAGGGTTTGTGTTTCTTTTCTTTTTCTATCTTTTTTTTTATTATTTGTTTAATTTAATTATTTCCTCTTAAATCTTTAAATTAATATTTTTCCTTTAATATAAAAATAATAAAAATCAGAAAAGACAAAAAAAATAAAATATATTTGATTTAATATTTTTTTTGGTAAATAAATCTTATTAATTAATTTAGTCTTAATTTTAGGTTTAAATCTTAATTTTTTTTTATATAAACTTAAAAATTGTAGAATTAGGGTTTTAATCACTTTTATCTTTTTCTTTTCTTTTATCATTATTAATAACTAATTATTTATTTTTGTAAATAAAATTGTATTAATTAATTAGGTTAATTTTAGATTCAATTTTAACATATTTTTCTTAATAAATAAAAATAGTTAGAATTAGGGTTAATTAATTTTTTTTAATTTCATTTAATTCTATCATTAAAATCAATAAATACGAAAAACCCAAAAATAATTCCTTTTCTCATTTAACTTAATTTAATTTGTTAATTATAATTTAATTTCCTAAAAAAAAGGGGTCCAACGCCCACGCATTCCCGATTTTACTTATTCTCGCATTTTTATTTTATTTCCTTTTTTTTCATGTAATTCTCCCAAAGCCATGTAATAGATCAATTAGGGTTTTATTTTTCACACTTTTGTTTTATTTCAAATCGGGTCCTGGTTTAATTTGGCGATGTGGACCCGCGCCTTTGTAATAGCGTAGGACCTTTATATTTCTCGCAACTTTTAAACTGTTAATTATACTGCATGAAAGAATGAATGTCAAAATAAAAACAAAAGCGTAGATCACCCATACATGACAAAACAAAAATATCTGAAAACGACACACAAATCACACACCACCCCTAGGGTACGCCTCATTATTGCCTTGCCCCTCGAAAGGTGATCGTCGAGTAGAGGATATTTTAGTAAGTCCTCATGATCTAGGAACCTGACATGAGGGTAGCTTCTAAGGTGTCTTCCTATTGCTCCGGTGATCACCATGTCCCGAATCTCGAATTGACCCGAACACCTCCAACGGTGGTGCTACCTACCTCTCAATGGTGGGATGGCACTACTTCAAGGACATCTACACAGACGAATTCCTTAGGGTAGGTAGACGACTCTAGATACTTGCTCTAATTTCAAAACAAATCAAAAAGTACTTTTCACACCGACACCTTTTCAAAAAGCTTTCGAAAGCAACTTTTCAAACACTCTTGAGGACCGATACAAGAGTCGAACTGAAATTTTCAAAGAAACTTTTTTAAACCCACAGTTGAAAAGCAAACAAACCATTTTGAAAACACAAATGAGCAAGTATCTAAGAGCCCATGGATAACCATGGATAGAAAGGGTGCTAACACCTTCCCTTTCTATAATCTACCTCCCGAACCGAGAGCAATCTCTTTAAGGAATTTTTCTGTGCTTTTGTCCTTTCCATTTGGAGAAAATAAAAGACGGTGGCGACTCTTGCTTCCGCGACATTTCGCGAACCAGCGTTAAACAGTCAGTTCCAGATCCACCGATCACAGCGACATATGACCCTATAAAAGATAACGTGACGGTAAGACCTACGAGCGACCTACGACCCTATGAAAGATAACGTGAGGGTAAGCCCTATGAGCGACCTACGACCCTATTAAAAGATAACGTGAGGGTAAGACCTATGAGCAAACTAGTGAGGGTAAGACCTACGAGCGACCTACGACCCTAGAAAAGATAACATGAGGGTAAGACCTACGAGTGACCTACGACCCTAGAGAAGATAACATGAGGGTAAGATCCATGAGCGACCTACGACCCTAGAAAAGATAACTTAAGGGTAAGAACCTTGAGCGACCTATGACCCTAGAAAAGATAATGTGAGGGTAAGACCTACGAGCGATCTACGACCCTAAAAAGATAACAAAAGGGTAAGACCTACGAGCGACCTATGATCCTAGAAAAGAAAACATGGGGTAAGACCTATGAGCGACCTACAACCCTATGAAAAGATAACGTGACGGTAAGACCTATGTGTGACCTATGACCCTATGAAAGATAACGTGAGGGTAAGACCTACAGCGACCTACGACCCTAGAAAAGATAACATGAGGGTAAGACCTAAGAGCGACCTACGATCCTAGAAAAGATAATGTGAGGGTAAAACCCACAAGCAACCTATGATCCTATGAGAAGATAACATGAGGGTAAGACCTACGAGCGACCTACTACCTTAGAAAAGATAACATGAGGGTAAGACCTATGAGCGATATATGACCTTATAAAAGATAACGTGATGGTAAGACCTACTAGCGACCTACGACCCCATGAAAGATAACGTGAGGGTAAGACCTATGAGCGACCTACGACCTACGAAAAGATAACGCGAGGGTAAGACCTATGAGCAACCTACAACCCTATGATAGATAACGTGAGAGTAAGACCTACGAGTGACCTACGACCCTATAAAAGATAACGTGAGGGTAAGACCTACGACCCTAGAATATATAACGTGAGGGTAAAACCTACTAGAGACCTATGAACCTAGAAAAGGTAACGTGAGGGTAAGACTTACGAACGACCTACGACCCTAGAAAAGATAATGTGAGGGTAATGTAGCGATAAAAAATGTAGCGGGGTAAATCGGAGATCGAATTATTGATTAATTCGTCTCACAAAAGCAAGAGTCGCCACCGCGCTTTATTGTTTCCAAAGGAAAAGGGAAAAGAGCGAAATAAAACCCTAAATATGCAATGTAAATATTAATAAAAATACAAAGCGTTTTTGAAAAGAGATCTTATGGTTCGGGGGTTGGTTATACAGTGGGAAGGTATTAGCACCCAATGCATTTGCGGTACTCCGCAGGAACCTTTTGAAATATCTGTTTTTTGGTTTAAAATTGTTTGTTTGATTAAAATGATTCGTTTGGCTAAAAGATGGGTATGGACGAGATTTTTGAAGATACGACAACCTAACGTCGAAGTTTTGACTTAAAACGGTATAAGCTTCGAAAAAGATTGACTATTTGAGGAAAAATTACGCTAAGCTTTTAATGAATGAGAGTATTCGCTCGATCGTTTTTGAGGACATGAAGTCGACAAAAATTAGACAATTCCCTTTGGATTGAAACGGACGAGAGATATACAGATTAACGATCAATTAATCAAAATTATAATTAAATGATTAACTGATGAAATTTAAATCATACTAGCATGCATCTTAAAAATTAAGTAAATAATAAAAGAGCACATGAAGATTAAGAAAACATAAATTTTTTTTGATAATTAATCACATGACAAAATTAAATCATGAAACATGTATTTTTTGAATAATTAAATAAGCAACATCACAAAATATAATAGAAGAAAAATGTATGTTTTCAAAATTAAATAAAGGTGAAATTTTAATGAAATGTTTTTATGTGTTTTTTTTTTACTAATTAAAAATTTTACAGCAAAGTGGATTAATAATTAACTAAGTGTATTAAATAATATGGCCAAAAGAAATAAAAGATAAATAAGTGACCCAACCAAGATTTGAACCCATGACACTTAGTTTGTTAGTAATATGCCTTGCCAATTAAACTGTTTCACTTATTCATTAATTATTACGTTCTTTTAAAACAAAAAGGGAAAAAAAGTTGAGTTATTGGGCCAATAGCCCATTGGACCGACCCGGTTTTAGAGAGGTAAAGGAAGGGTTTTTGTAACCTTAATTCTACAAAGAGGCGCCGCCAGCTATCATTTGGGAAGATCTAATCAATTAATTTGTCAATTAATTCTGATTATTTCTCAATTAAAATTCAATTAAAACAAGTATAACTCCTTGTTTCTCACGTGATTAACAACACCTATTACCTCTATCAGTCTCCTATTCCACACTTCTCTCTTCTTCACGCTAAAACGTCAAAATCTTTACAATATGCTCCATTTATGGAATCTGGGCGGTGCGATGCAAGTTGCAAACAGGAAGAAATGAGAGTTGTATGTTGTTGGAGAACAGACGTGGTGGTGGCAAGTCGGAGGCGGGAGGTGGTCGTGATGGATCGATATTGGGGCTAACTTTCCTCCACGCTTCAACGAAGGAGGAATTGGTGGTGAGGGTAGCCACGTCGGTGGAGAAGTGGCGAGTGGCAGCGCGGGAGAGGAAAGTGGATGTAGCGCGGCGGAACATGGTGACGGTAGGGTTGGATCGCTCGGGCTCGCAAGTCGGAGAGAAAATGAAGAGAGAGAAATGAGTACGATTGCGTGAGTGAAACAAGAGAGAGGGGAGAGGAGATCTGGTTCGGGATGGAGGAAACAGGAGCGGAGATCAGAGAATTTCTACGGTGGGAGCTCGGTGATGGTTTTGGAACTGAGGCTAACGATTCAGTAACGGTAACAAACTTTTCCGCTACGGTTAAATTGCTTGTTGTGATTGTGGTGTTAGGGGGTGTTTTGATGACTCTAGAGATGCAAAAGCGAATATCAGAAACTGAAATAGAAACTGAAATGGCGAAACGAGAAGGAAGGAAATAGAGGAAAGTGGCGATTGTGCAGAGAAGTAGCGTTACAGTTGGTGGAGGAAAGAGTAACGGTGAGGATGATGTCAAAGCTTTAAGGTGATTTTATTTTTTTACCCGATTCTAAACTTTCTGGTTTATTCGTAAACACAAGTAATTTGATTTGGACTCAATTCTATCCTTTTACTTTTGTAGCAGGGATTACATATGCAACATCAACAAGTTTTGATAACGAATACATACAGAGATGCCGGTTTTATGCAAAAGGATGGAATGAGCATTACCTGTCAAAGTCTCTCCGCCAAGTTCTTCAAAAGGAAATGAATTTAAGATCTTCTATCTTCTCCCTTTATGCCTCTTCCTCTCTGTCTTTCCTATCTGTTTCGGTTATGAGTCCTTGGAGGTGCAACACCTGCTTAGCTAAACTTCCAGTTTTACGTGCATACTGTGAACTGTTTTGATTCTCTAAGGCGGAAGATCGTAGAGGTATGAAAATATATTTTTTGTTCTTTTCTTGTATGTATTTTCTACTGTATTCTTGAATGAGTGATCTATTGTTTTTTGTAAAGGGGTGCAATTTATTTTTGCAGTGAGAGGTGGGTGGAAGGAAATAAATTGAAGAGAAAGATGAAAAGTGAAGGATCTGTCCATGTAAAAAAAATCGGATAATAATATATGGGAGTTAGGAGTTTTTTGTGAAAAACTTCCAAGGAGTTATTACCGTTGTGTTCTTTTTGATTGAGATTCAAATTTATTCTAAAGATAGAGGAAGTATAGTGTGACTTTTTGCTTTATTCTTATTTTTTTGAAAAGTTGCCATTCTCATGTAAGATTCTTGGATGTATTATGGTGCAGATTTTGCAGTATGACAATAGCAGGTTTGTAGGAAGATTTTGGCAAGAGTTGAAGCAAATTGGATAGAACAAAAATTAACAGCAAGAAAAGAAAAAAATAATAATAATAATTAACCAAAAAAGAGATTGTTAGTAACAACTAAACTAAAAGTACAAAAAAAGTTGGATAGAACAAAAATTAACAGCAAGAAAAGAAAAAAAAAAATAATAATAATAAACCAAAAAAGAGATTGTTAGTAACAACTAAACTAAAAGTACAAAAAAAGAAATAAAATAAGAGACACAAACAAAACGTATTTAGTAATAATAATAATTCAATTTAAGAAATTCAATTAATATTAGAACTAAATCAAAATTAAAAAGGAACTAAAATTATAATGACTAAAGAAATAAAAATATAAATAAAAGAAAATGGTATTAACTATATGTTTTTTCTTTGAGATTTTCTGGATGTAAAATACAACTAAAATAAAGATGACGCTAATCACATGTTTTTTTAGATTTTTTTCAAATAAAGTGATACAAACATATAAATTTAAATAGAATTAATAAAAGACCATATTTTTTATATTTTGAATTATAAATAAATAAATAAAAATAATAACACATGTTAAGTGCGTCTTTTGCAATTTTTTAATGGAAAAGAAATCATGAATAAAACACAGTCGAACCCAAATTTCACCAAATTCACAAAACAACTTTTAACGTCAACAATTTTTCATGGCTTTTTAATGCATAATTTTCCCTTGATTTATAAAGAAAAGTTGTGGATGATGTCAAGGAAAATCATGCGCAAAAACAACCTCTCAAAAATGTCGAAATTCGAAGAAGTTATGAATTTTTGAAATCTGACCCGAGAAGTGGCAAAAATAGGTCGAATCGCTTGTGAACGCTTGCTATGTAATAATGCAGATGGGGGGGTGGGATCTTAGGTCAAAAATTGGGGTACAACAGGTAATACCTACTAGTGACCTACGACCCTAGAAAAGAAAACGTGAGCGTATGACCCATGAGCGACCTACGACCCTAGAAAAGATAACTTGAGGGTCAAACCCACAAGCGACCTATGACCTTAGAAAAGGTAACATGAGGGTAAGACCTACGAGCGACTTATGACCCTAAAAAGATAATGTGAGGGTAACACCTACAAGCGACCTACAATCCAAGAAAAGATAACATGAGGGTAAGACCTATGAGCGATCTACGATCGTATAAAAAGATAACGTGAGGGTAAGACCTATGTGCGCCCTACGACCCACGAGAGACCGTATGAAAGATAACGCGAGGGTAAGACCCACGAGCGACCTATGACCCTATGAAAAGATAACATGAGGGTAAGACCTAAGAGCGACCTACGACCCTAGAAAAGATAACATCAGGGTAAGACCTATAAGCGACATATGACTCTATAAAAGATAACGTGAGGGTAAGACATACGAGGGTCCTACGACCCTAGAAAAGATAACGTGAGGTTAAGACCTATGAGCGACCTACAACCCTATGAAAAGATAACGTGAGAGTAAGACCTATGAGCAACCTACAACCCTATGAAAGATGATGTGAGGGTAAGACCTACGAGCGACCTACGACCCTAGAAAAGATAACATGAGGGTAAGACCTACGAGCGACCAAGGACCCTAGAAAAGATAACATGAGGGTAAGACCTATGAGCGACATATTTACTTATAAAAGATAACATGATGGTAAGACCTATGAGAGACCAATGACCCCATGAAAGATAAAATGAGGGTAAGACCTATGAGCGACCTACGACCCTATGAAAAGATAACGCGAGGGTAAGACCTATGAGAAAACTACAACCCTATGAAAGATAATGTGAGACTAAGACATACGAGCGACCTAAGACCTTATAAAATATAATGTGAAAGTAAGACCTACGAGCGACCTACGAACCTAGAAAATATAACGTAAGGGTAAGACCTACTAGCGACCTACGAACCTAGAAAAGAAAACGTGAGGGTAAGACCCATGAGCGACCTACGACCCTAGAAAAGTTAACTTGAGGGTCAGACCCACGAGCGACCTATGACCGTAGAAGAGATAACATGAGGGTAAGACCTACGAGCGATCTATGACCCTAAAAACATAATGTGAGGGTAACACCTACAAGCGACCTACGATCCTAGAAAATATAACATGAGGGTAAGACCTATGAGCGACCTACGACCCTATGAAAAGATAACATGAGGGTAGGACCTATGTGCGACCTACGACCCTATGAAAGATAACGTGAGGGTTTGACCTATGAGCGACCTACGACCCAATGAAAAGATAACGTGAGGGTAAGAGCTATGTGCGACCTACGACCCTATGAAAGATAACGTGAGGGTAAGACCTACGAGCGACCTACGACCCTGGAAAAGATAACGTGAGGGTAAGACCTACGAGCGACCTACGACCCTAGAAAAGATAATATGGGGTAAGACCCACGAGCGACCTATGACCCTATGAAAATATAACATGAGGGAAAGACCTACGAGCAACCTACGACCCTAGAAAAGATAACATGAGGGTAAGACCTATGAGCGACATATGACCTTATAAAAGATAACGTGAGGGTAAGACCTACGAGCGACCTACGACCCTATGAAAGATAACGTGAAGGTAAGACCTATGAGCGACCTATGACCCTATGAAAAGATAACGTGAGGGTAAGACCTATGAGCAACCTAGTGAGGGTAAGACCTACGAGCGACCTACGACCCTAGAAAACATAACATGAGGGTAAGACCTACGAGTGACCTACGACCCTAGAGAAGATAACAAAAGGGTAAGACCTACGAGCGACCTATGATCCTAGAAAAGAAAACATGAGGGTAAGACCTATGAGCGACCTATAACCCTATGAAAAGATAACGTGAGGGTAAGACCTATGTGTGACCTACGACCCTATGAAAGATAACGTGAGGGTAAGACCTACAGCGACCTATGACCCTAGAAAAAATAACATGAGGGTAAGACCTAAGAGCGACCTACGATCCTAGAAAAGATAATGTGAGGGTAAGACCCACAAGCAACCTATGATCCTATGAAAAGATAACGTGAGGGTAAGACCTACGAGCGACCTACTACCTTAGAAAAGATAACATGAGGGTAAGACCTATGAGCGATATATGACCTTATAAAAGATAACGTGATGGTAAGACCTACGAGCGTCCTACGACCCCATGAAAGATAACGTGAGGGTAAGACCTATGAGCGACCTACGACCTACGAAAAGATAACGCGAGGGTAAGACCTATGAGCAACCTACAACCCTATGATAGATAACGTGAGAGTAAGACCTACGAGTGACCTACGACCCTATAAAAGATAACGTGAGGGTAAGACCTACGACCCTAGAATATATAACGTGAGGGTAAAACCTACTAGAGACCTATGAACCTAGAAAAGGTAACGTGAGGGTAAGACTTACGAACGACCTACGACCCTAGAAAAGATAATGTGAGGGTAATACCTACTAGTGACCTACGACCCTAGAAAAGAAAACGTGAGCGTATGACCCATGAGCGACCTACGACCCTAGAAAAGATAACTTGAGGGTCAAACCCACGAGCGACCTATGACCTTAGAAAAGGTAACATGAGGGTAAGACCTACAAGCGACTTATGACCCTAAAAAGATAATGTGAGGGTAACACCTACAAGCGACCTACAATCCAAGAAAAGATAACATGAGGGTAAGACCTATGAGCGATCTACGATCGTATAAAAAGATAACGTGAGGGTAAGACCTATGTGCGCCCTACGACCCACGAGAGACCGTATGAAAGATAACGCGAGGGTAAGACCCACGAGCGACCTATGACCCTATGAAAAGATAACATGAGGGTAAGACCTAAGAGCGACCTACGACCCTAGAAAAGATAACATCAGGGTAAGACCTATAAGAGACATATGACTCTATAAAAGATAACGTGAGGGTAAGACATACGAGGGTCCTACGACCCTAGAAAAGATAACGTGAGGTTAAGACCTATGAGCGACCTACGACCCTATGAAAAGATAACGTGAGGGTAAGACCTATGAGCAACCTACAACCCTATGAAAGATGATGTGAGGGTAAGACCTACGAGCGACCTACGACCCTAGAAAAGATAACATGAGGGTAAGACCTACGAGCAACCAAGGACCCTAGAAAA